AATCAGTGGCAGTAATGACAGAGCATGCGCTGTTACACAAAAACCACGATAGAGCGAAGCCTATAATATTTTATTTAAATGAAGACCCAAAAGAGCATGATGATGGAAGGTTCATATTCACTAACACAAGCACTATATATTTTATGAGTGAGAGTGATGTGCCGAGACTAGAGCAGCTCCTCTTGGCGTCCGCAGCAAGATGCAACATCTGACAAATTCTCAGCCTGTCTGGGTCTTTTTCAAGATGGATATTCAATTGGACTATCACACAAAGTGATGTTCTGAACTTTGCTGCTCAAGTAGTGGAAAGTCCAAGTTGGAGCCATTCAACAACCAAAGTACCACTGTATATATATTAAGAACTTAGAATAATCCTTGGAAAACTAGAATGTAAAACATTTCTTTTAATATTCTCTTGCTACCAGTGGGTTTCTTAAGGATAATATCCATATCAAAGAACTTGTGGGAATATGGCGACTGAGTAACACTTACCAGAGGGTCTCCGCTGAAATCAGCACAGGAGAGTTACTAAGAGGGAAATTCCACACTGCCGGGTCACAGGAGGAGCATCATAAAAATAAGTAGGCACAGATCCACAAGGTTTTGAGGGGTTGGGGGCTTTTTGCTTACCACAATAGAGGCCGACTAGGGTTTGACCTTAGCCCTACCACTGTCTAGGTAAGAGCTGGGATCATTTGGAGTTGGTTCAGGGGCTTTATCTCAACACATTCACAGCTTGCCACCACATCAGGACAGGGATTATACACAACCAGCCCCACAATCAAGGATCGGGGCTCAGCTATGGTTACTTTTGTTTCCCTCTCTTCTCTCTATCCCCTCACAGTCTCAGCAGCCGTAGTTTTTTCTTCTTCTTTTTCCTTTTCTATTCCCTTTTCTGTCACATGCCACTGCCGACCTCCAGACCACTCCCCTTGTCCCAGGTATTTACACCTGCCCTCAACCCACATGGAAGCGCTCCAACCTCTGCAACATAACCCAAGACTAGGGAAAGCCCACCCATCCTCCACCAGTGGATATCCCACCCAACTTTTCTCAGGGAAATTCCACCCACCTTCCCTCTGCAGTGCTTAATACACAGCTGGTGAAATCCCACCCACCTTCTTCGGGGGAAATCCTGCCTGCATGGCTGGGGGAGCTCCAATACATACTCTGTGGTCCCACGTGCCTGAGGGAACTTCCTCTCGCCTGCCATAGTGTCTCCCACAGCCTAAGGCACCTTGGCCAACATTTGCCAACATTCCACGCTTCTGCAGGTACCTCTGCTCAACCTCTGCAGTGATCTACCTGACCAGGGCAATTCAGCCCACCATTCGAGATGCACTACACCAAAGCAGGTAACTCACCTGCTTTCTGTGGCACTTCAGTTGCAGCAGCACCCTCGCATGCCCTCTGCAGTGCCCCAAGATGCTGTAGGACACACCATCCTGGCTTCCTGTGAGATCACCCAGTACAGCACCATCCTCATGGGTCCACAACAGCCCAACCAGGATCTTCTGAGAGGACCATCCAATTTGCCCTCCGTAATACTGGTTGACTAGGGAGAGGGAAGTCACAGGAGGAAAAAGTTGTAGGCCAATTCCATAGTGAAATTAGCTGCAGGCGATTCAAATAAACAGTCCTACAATTCTCCCAGAGAGAGTCAGTGCTCTTTGACTACCTGGAAAATGGCACCTGGCTCCCCTAAAACAATGCTACGCAAACAGCAATCAGTCCCAACGATCTCAACAAAAAAACAAGAGAAACAAAAGGCAATGGCAGAAGATGTCCTGGACCTAAAATCATGCATAGAACAAGGAGACATTGATCTGCTACAGAAAAAAAGTTTCAGAATGTTGCTTAGAGTCACATAAGGGGACAAGAAGAAAACAATACAGAAAAAGGATGAAATGATAGAGGAGGTAAAGCCCATACACCAAAGTGAAATACAAGAG